CATAATGGTAATCCTACTGCGAGTATATCTAAGACCATGTTCGTTCCGGCCACTAACAAAGCTCGAAAAATTGTTTATCCTGAACCAAAGGGAAAAAATGACTTAGGATCGAGACTTACTAGACAATGTAGGGTCAATCGTCCTACTTATCGGCAACAACCGTTGAACATGTTTGAATCTAGGTTTATTCCTACATGTCACCATTGTGGCGTATTGGGACACACAAGACCTAGGTGTTGTAAACTCGTAACTAGAAATAAAAGTCAGGATATCTTAAGCACGGTTAACTTCCTCGTCAATCAAGTTAGCCACTTAACTGAGATAATGACTCGGTTAACTAAAATCACTTCTACTTTTAAGAAGGTTTGGGTTAAGAAGAGTGATTTTTCTAGGTCAGATGATCAGAAGAATTGTTATGTTGCCCACGTTGCACTTAAGGCCCAAAATATTTCTATGTGGTATCTTGACAGTATTTGTTCTAGACATATGTGTGGTGACAAGGCCTTGTTCTCTTCTCTAGATGATTGGAATGGCAGTGTTGTTACTTTTGGAGATGGGGCTACTACACCTACACTTTGTAAAGATGTTGTCACTATATGTGGACCACCTGCTATCTCAGATGTACTTTATGTGAAAGGGTTAAAGTCCAACTTGTTAAGCATCAGTCAAATATGTGATGCTAATTTCGATGTCAGTTTTGTTCAAAAAAGGTNNNNGATGTCAGTTTTGTTCAAAAAAGGTGTACCGTCTATGATTCTACTGGTAATATTGTCCTCGAAGGTGTAAGAACTTCAAATAATTGTTATGGGGTTCTTTCTAATTCTAACTACGTATGTAGTAGTGCCAAGATTGATGTAACTGAACTGTAACACCAACGGCTTGGTCATATGAACTATAAACGTTTGTCTAAACTCGCTTGAAGGAACTTGTAAATGGCTTACCTAAACTTGAAAATATTGATACCATTGTATATGGCCTGTGTCAACAAGGTAAACAATTTAGAGTTCCTCATACACA